TGGCAAAAGCGCCTGCCTGGCAAGCGCAAGGTCGTGAGTTCGGTTCCCGGTACCGGAGAAAAACCAAAAAAAAAAAAAAAAAAAAAAAAAAAGATGAGGCTTTATTACTTGTACCTTACTTTGGGTCGAAAGTGAACACTACCCTCCACTTAACCAACTTCTTCTTCCTCTTCTCCCCTGTACCTCTTTTGCTTCATTGGACGTCAAATGTTAATACAGTACTGCTGAGTCATTCCTGAGCTCTCACTGAGCGCTAAGGAATTCTTCCTACATTTATTTGTTGCTGTTGGACTTTGGAATCATTATGGAGACAAGGCCTTAAATTTACCTGGCTCAAATTCGCTGGGAGGCTGAGGCAGGAAGACTGCAAATTTAAGCCCAGCTTGGGCAATTTAGCGACTTACTGAGAACTTGTCTCAGAAAGAGAGAGAGAAAGAAAAAGAAAAAGCCTGTGGATCTTCAGGTGTAGCTCAGTGTGATGGCCCTGGGCTCAGTCCCAGTACAAACAAAACAAACAAAACAAAACAAAACAAAACACAAAACAAAACAATCTTCTCAGCATAGTTCCCTCAAATCCCCTCCCTACTTAACTACTACCAAGGCTCCTGGAGAAAAAGAAATGAATAGGGGTATTTTTACTTAAAAAGCTTGTAGGCTTCCTTTCTCCCCCAAGAGGACCGGGTCTTTGTCAAATAATTTGCTGGGAATTCGGTCCTTTGTTCTCAGCTTGGAAGCTTCCACAGGAGCTATCTTGCTAGGAGGGGGTGGATGCCCCAGGGCTGTTAGCGTCCTCTGTCCTGTGGCTCATTGACCCAAGTTCTCAGGGACTTTAGTTAGTCTGTGCTTTTCACGCTGATCATGATTTTGTCTACATAGTGTATATGCAGCGGTTTCGTACTTACCGTGTTTCATAAGTGCCCTCTCACACGATTAATTAACTGGATTGCTGCCTGCCCTTCCTGCTTGTAGAGGTTCAGTTTGTTCTTTGAAGGAAGGACAAACTCACTAGTCCTTAGGGAGACTTCAATATGCAGCATCCCAGCTCTGTCAGACATACCTCAGAGCTGCCAGGTCCTTAGTTTGAAGCCAATATTGAAGCCATTTTTAAGAGTGGACTTAAAGAGGGAGCAAGAAGCAGCCTTGTTGTTTGAACTAGATTAACATGTACCGGGCTTGAAAAGCTTCTGTTATCATCATCACGGTTATGTGAAATAGCACATCTTCCATTTGTAAAAAAGAACCCGGCCGGGCATGGTGATGCACGCCTGTAATCTCAGCAGTCGGGAGGCTGAGGCAGGAGGATCGCTGTAATTTCTAGGCCAGCCTGGGCTACAAAGTGAGCTCAAGACCAGCCTGAATTGCATAGAAAGACCCTGTCTCAAAAAGACAAAATAAATAAATAAATAAATAAATAGGAATCCAAAGTGTGGTTTTAGGTTTTAGTTTCCTAAAGGTTTTTCTGTGAAGCTATTGCTTTCCTCTATACCTTTTTCAGTAAATTTCTGATTTGTTCCTCATATACTATGATGCAGGTTTTGTTGACAGTACATCTCCTTCTTTTGTAGATAGGGTAGATAGAAATATCTTCAATAAATATTCTGGCTTTAATGAATTAAACAATGGGCATCTGAAGGGATTTAGTAGTTGTTAAAATTAGTCAAATAAATTATACATTGGGATATAGTTGGAATACAGCCCAAACTGCAAAAGATTCAGTGGTTTAGTCTCTGTACTTTGATTTCTTCTACTTCATAATAGCATAATGTTATACAGGAAAATAAATCTATCACCTTCAAGCTAATTTCTCTCAAACCTCTATCTGATGCTAAGGACAAGCGTTTTGGCTGTACCAGCCACATTCACACAGTGGCTGGTTGCTGCCTGACTGGTGGGAACCAAGACAAGGCTACTTTTCACCGAGGACAGAGTTTGAAGCGTTGACTCCTATGTGAAACCTTTAGCTGACACCCTATGTGCTGTATCCACGAGGCTGGCTAGTATAAAAGGGACCTAAAATAATGACTTATTAATCTCGGATATTTTCTAAAGCAGTATTTTGCAACTAGTACATGCTGGCTGTTTTGTTGTTTGTTTGTTTGTTTGTTTGTTTGTTTGTTTTGCGGTAGCAGGGATCAAACTCATGACCTGGCGCTTGCCAGGCAGGCGCTTATGCCACTGAGCTATATCCCCAGTGCCTTTGAGTCTCTCTTCAATAATCAGCATGTACTAGGCAGTGTACTGTCCTTAGCTTGTCCTTAGCACAGGTAGAGATTTGAGAGAAATTAGCTTGCAGGTGATAGATTTATTTTCCTGTACACTGCCTAGTACATGCTGATTATTGAAGAGAGACTCGAAGGCCTTTATGTGACACTGAACTTTATTGTCAACTTGATTGACTTGGGAGCCACCTAGAGGATCAGTAAAGCACACTTCTGGGTGTGTTGGGGAGACGGCCTTGGGGGCGTGACCTTGAGGACCAGATCTGCTTCCTGGAACTTTCCTCCTGGCACTGTTCCCGGTTCTGCTTCCTGGCCACTGTGAGGTGCACAGCCTTCCTCTGTGCAGCCCGTCTGTCATATTCCAGCCTTGGAGCCCGCTGTATGGAATAATCACGTAAAACTATGAGACAAGTTAAACCTCTCTTCCTTTGAAGTGTAGGTGTTGGCTGTTATGAGCCAGTGCGCAAAAAAAACCTTAATAATCTATACACTGTG